CAGTTATGGAAGTATGGAGTTTCTGCTTTTAATTATAACAATGTAGCAGACAGTTGATTCGCCATCTTGTTTATGTGAGAAGGAAAGTTTCTGCTTTTAATTTTAATCTTCATTCTGCAGTCAGTTAATCCACCTGCACTTTTATTGGTGTAAATTCATGGGATAAGTTTTACGGTAATGCTGATACTTAGTCACTTTATCATAGATTATGTAACGTGCATGGCAGTGTAACGCACTGACAAAAAATGTGTCACCGTCATCGAAATGTACCATACTGATGTTACTGCGCAAGTGGGTCATTCAAGCACATCACAAACATTTGCAAACAAAAACCAGCTCTTATTCAACAGTCTACTTTAGCATTACGCAAGGATATTGGGACGTTTGTCAACCTAGCATTCCAGCAACTACAACGGTGGTTGCTAACACTGTTTTTATAACAGTTAATACAATAGCAGATTCCTGTCCACAATATTCTGTGAAGAATCAGGTAGGAGAAGAGACAGTTATCCATTTAACAAGTGTAACTGTTCCACTGGCTGCTAGCGTGCCAGACGAAGTTAAAAACAAAATTTGGTCTAATGAGTTTGTTGATTCGGGTTTCCAAAATATCACCAGAAACAGTATACATTATGAACCCTTCTTAGAGTGACAGTCCACCTTTCCGCCAGAATCCTGAAAAACAGACCCATTGACCCAATTGCAAAATGGTCATCTGCTTTTCAATTTTGCATAGCAATTTATTCAGCTAAGTTTAATTCTGATACACCTGATCTGACTGGACAATCAAAGCAGGCAGGAGCAGTTTTACATATTGTGAGTGATTTTTTGTTCTAGCTTATGAAATGAATCGGAAGTCCATTAAATCGAAAAGCGACTGAAGGCCGTTCTACTGTACTTCTCTTCCATTTGAAAACAAATCGTTGCATATCTCTAGTTCAGTAGTTTCTAGAACGCAAAAAACAACCCTTAAAGAAAATCGGTCTTTCGTTAGAACGATTAATTTTATTTGTACTGTTGTCAACTCAGGAAGAGCTATTTTAAGGCACCTAATTGATTTGACCTTGGGCTTAACTCAAC